CTACCATGCCAGACAGGTCGATTGGAGAACGATGAGACTAAAAGCAGCTACCCAAGGTCTGAGGGCGAAGTCGTACTGCTGACTACTGCAGAGGGGTGTGACAGCAGTAAGGTGTTTCCCTCGGACAACCAGCATCTGCAGCGATGCTGCCTTCTCACAAGGAAGGAAGGGTTAGAAAAGGTCGGCCCTAAAAATGTCACACATCCCCTAACTCACGGATTTCCGTCTCCCTGGGTAAGGGTGCCCACTAAGGGCCTTTAAGAACGGAGCTAATCCTCAAAAAACATTTCATAAAAAGGTCTTGCGTGACCGGCCTCAAGCAGTTGTCCCTTGGACTCTGCGGTCACGCACCAACACTAATCCATCTTCCTTTTCAGGTCCCTCAAGAAACAACCTTCCACGGTGTGGGCAGCCGGGAAGTGACAACCGCCCTCATACCCGTACCAGCACGCGAGACCAAATTGGTCAAAATCAAATCCTTCCTACACCCCCTAATGTCTCTCTTATCTCTACGACTAACTCTACTCACACTCTCTTTTCTCACTGCACCGCTAATGCAGACGACACGAGTTCGCGAAACGTCGTTCCTGGTCTCTTGAAACCCCGTTCTAGACTACATGTTGGAGCTTTTAATGTACGGACATTGTGTCAAATAGGGCAACAGGCATCATTAGCTAGGACTTTAGAAACTCGTGCCATCGATGTATGCTGCGTCTCGGAAACGCGCATACAGGATCCTAGTAAAGTCATTAACCTGATTCCACCTTGTCAAAACGAAGCAGCAGCCCGATTCACTCTTCGTGTATCCGGTAGCCCTGATGCTGCTTCCAGGGGTCTTGCTGGCGTAGGCATAGCGTTGAGTCCCAGGGCAGAATTATCTCTCCTAGACTGGATCCCAGTAGATGGTCGTTTGTGCGCTGTCCGACTAAACGGGACAGTAAGGACTCGGGAGGATAGGGACACTCGCCGTTGCCTCTTCATCGTATCAGCCTATGCCCCCACTGACTGCAGTGCAGATGAGGTTAAAGATGAATTCTACTGAAAGCTTTCGAACCTCCTCCAAAAAGCTAGGCGCTCTGATATAGTAATAATGGCTGGTGACTTTAATGCTCAAGTAGGTAGACTAGGTGAAAAGGAAAGACATCTAGGTGGATGTTATGGTGTAGCGACTGAGAGAACAGACAATGGCGACCGTCTGTTGCAAGTATGCTCAGATAACCACCTATTCTTAGCAAACACTAACTTTAGGCATAAGGAAAAGCATCTGCTGACCTGGCGACCTCCAAAGTCGTCTCAACGTTGGACTCAACTAGATCACATTGCCATCAGCCACCGATGGAGGGGTTCGATAGACGACTGTCGCTCGTTCTGGGGCACATGTTTGGATTCAGATCATGCCCTAGTGCGAGCTCGTATCTGTTTGAGGCTTACTGGACGTAGGAAAGACACCGTAAGAAAGCCTCTTAGGGTTTTACTTGATGATAATCAAGCTAAGAAAATATTTCAGGAGCAACTAGTAAGAGAGTTTAGCAACGATGTAAGTGATTCCCATCCAGAAGCAGGTTGGTATGATATCAAAAAGGCTGTGGAAACAGCAGTGATATCTGTTGGTAAGGTAAACCATAAGGCTAGGATGAAGCCTTATAAAGAAGACTTATACAAAGTCTGCGTAACGACCGCGAACAGTGGTGGGTGGCGAAAGCAAAAGCGATGGAAAAGGCAGCGGCGATAGGCAACACTAGACAACTTTTCCGCCTTATTAAAGAAACTGGTATTAAAAACCCGAATGTTAGTGAGACTATCTCGGAAAAGGATGGTCTTATTATCCATTCTCAATCCAGGAGACTGGATCGATGGGCAGAACACTTTAGGCCTCGAGCCACTTCGGTTACCCACGATCTCCAGTCATCCTGAATGGCAAATCGACGTAAATCCCCCTAGTCTTAATGACGTTGAAAAAGCGTTAGTAAATCTTAAACCAGGACGAGCTGCAGGTCCTGATAGACTGACCCCTGAGATATTCAAGGATGGTGGTCCAGTTTTAGCAACTAGGTTGACCGAGATCTGAATTTTCAGGAGTAGACCTGTAGGATTAAATTTGTCCTACAGATGTAATTCTAAAACGTAAACGCAAACACCGCCGATGACAGAGTCCAGAGTGAAACTATAGTTAACAGAAGACAATTCGGTATTAAACTTTATCTGTTTCGGACAGTATAGCGTGTCTTTAGAAAATGAATAAAAAACATGAGTCACAGCAATATAAAATGATAACATCCTTCAATCGATGGACCATTCACAACAAAGAAAGTTTATACATCGGTCAGACTAGATGACGTGGTGAGCGCTTAACCAATCTGATTGGTTAGTTATGACATAACTACAATTAGTCATAAAATAACTAACAGACCTTCTACCAAGTGGCTCGCTTATTGACTTAGAATATGCCGATGACATAGTCCTATTTGGTGAAGACGCTGACAAAATGCAGAGTCTTCTAATCACCCTAAGCAACAATGCAAGCATGTTCGGGATGCGGTTCTCACCCTCGAAATGCAAAATGTTGCTTTAAGACTGGGTTTCATCGGCACCTGAACTAGTGATAGGGAGTGAAGTAGTCGAGCGTGTTGATCACTTCACTTATCTTGGGAGTCTCATCAGTGCCGATGGCCTGGTGACTGACGAAATCTCAGCACGGATACAGAAGGCTCTATTGGCTTTTGCCAACCTACGTCACTAATGGCGAAGGCGAGATATCCGTTTGCTGACTAAAGGACGAGTGTACTGTGCAGCAGTTCATTCCGTTCTCCTATATGGCTGTGAAACATGGCCAGTGAGAGTAGAAGATATTCGTAGGTTACTGGTTTTCGATCATAGGTGTCTTCGAAGCATTGCTCGTATATCCTGTGACACCTGAGTGAGCAACGCTGTTATTAGGAATCGGGTGCTAGGTAAGAATGGCAGATCAATAGATGAAGTAATGAAACTTCATCAGTTGAGGTGGTTGGGACATGTGTTGCGTACGCCCAACCACCGACTGCCTCGACGAGCTTTGTTTTGTAGTGTAGGAATAGGTTGGAAGAAAGTTAGGGGCGGCCAAACTAAAAATGGCAGAAATCCATGAAGTCATTGACTAGTGGACTTAGCCATGTCGGTAATTGTCGACTACCTGATTGGGATCCGCGAGATGATAATAATCGATGGTTAGGTACCCTGAATGACATGGCTCAAAATCGTTTGCAATGGCGCCGGTGCATTTATGCTTTGTGTTCTCTCAAATCCTAATCTTCTGGATTCTTCAACACCTCTAGTTTTTACTTTCTAAACTTTTCTCATTAAATCATACTACTAGAATAATATCTTCTAATCATAACCTCTCCGATTACTTCTAATTCCCTTACTACCTCTTCTACTATCGGATTTGAATTGACAATTACTTCTCTGTGCTGATGTGGTATGGCGACATGAACTGATGTACTTACGTACGAAGTTCTACGTTGCAACTGACTGACTGACTGAATGGAGCATAGGCCAACGACCAGTTTTCTTCAACCACTCTGCCCTGGGCTTGCCTTTCAAATTCTGTCCAATTTTTGTTCATTCTTCTCATATCTTTCTCTATTTCTCGGCGTAATGTGTTCTTTGGCCTTCCTCTTTTCTCTTGACATTGATGGTTCCATGTGAGGGCTTGTCTTGTGATGTAGTTGGGTGCTTTTCGCAGTGTATGTCGTATCCACTTCCACCGCTTATTCCTGATTTCCTCCTCCATTGGAATCTGTTTTGTTCTCTCCCAAAGTAAGTTGTTGCTGATGGTGTCTGGCCAACGAATCCGAAGTATTTAGCGAAGACAACTGTTCATAAATACTTGTATCTTCTGGATGATGGCTTTCGTAGTTCTTTAAGTTTCCGCTCCATATATATATATATATATATATATATATATATATATATATATATATATATATATGTTTGATTTGTTGGTAGATTACATGTACCTGTGTAAATCTACTTGTATTCACAACAATGCCATTTAATCAATCGTTTATCAAGTTTAATTCCAACTTCAGGTACTTGTGTTTAAGCAGTTGAGTCATATCACTATCCATGAGGATCAAAAACAGTGATCTATAAAATAAAACAAGATGACTGTGACAGTTGCCCATTAGTAACATTGGTTTAGATGCTTCACGGTCTATCGAAAAAAGCAATTGCTTTGGTCATATAAAATGGCTTTGACATTCAATATCAGCTGATTGCTGAACGATCTTGGTCTCATTTACAATCTTGCATGGTTAGGTTACGATTCATTATTAGCACAACTACCCTCATCCTAATATCAGTTAATCATGAAAATAATCATATTATTACAAATTTTAACGAAGCTATTAATATGAATCAATTGTATTTACATAATTCAATCAATGCCTTTTAAATACTATTGTTTCAATACAGTTTGTGAGTTTTTTCTGTAGATAACTGGCAGTATTACCACTATGTAGCACGCCTCGTTATAGTTTGAACATATTTTCAGCGTTCAAGTTTGTAGTTTAAGCGACGGTTCAACTTTCTGTGAATTGCAGATGTTTCAAGTCACATAAAACAGTAAGATGAAATTACTAAAGCCAATATCAGTGTAGTAGAAGTAATAACAGTGCCAGCGGTAGTACTGAAAATCGAAGTGCTTGTATTTGTCCTGCTGCAGTATCACTTCTGAGCAATATCATTGCACGTCAGTAATTGTTAGTTACAGTAGTTTCATGAACTCGAACCAGGTATTCTGTACTTACCTAAATGGCCCAATCCATCAAACAACGTATTCATGAACTGACTCTACATTTTTGTGTCTGCTTCTAGCTCTAGCCTTCTTCGGATGTATGATGCCTCTATTAACAAAGATTATCTGTCGAGATAGGCGGTAGGTAGTTGAGTCATTTTTATAAACTCTCATATCGATAACATTACCATAATTTCGATTCACATCACTATATTCATTTAATTTTTAGGTTCGAAAAAGTCGAAATCCAATCAGAAGTCCTATATACGAAGCCATTCGGAAATTGATTTAACCGAAGACAATCACTGGCATCGAAAGTTCAATAGCATTTATGATAATGCATCGACTGATGTTACTTTTGATCTTACACGTACGAAATCGAATATAAGACTTCAACTTTTGGCCCGTGTAGCTGAGTATTGTTTACAAGAAAATGTCCCCAATAATTCAATACACAAAACGAATGAATGTCAAACGAGTCAAGCTATCACTAGTTTAGCTGATAAATTGGTGTTTTTATGTAGGCGTCTCCTGGTACCTTGTCATTTTATCGACTATCCACCTAAATTAAACAAGGTGTTATTTTTGATTTTTTAATTATTATACTGATTTTTGTATTTTATCAACGTTTATTTAATATTAGTTCATTAAGAGATACATACTATAATGCGGTTGTTTGAAGTAAGAAAATTGACATCGATTTAGGACAATAGAAATGTAGAGTTTAGTTATCATATTGAAAATAAAAATCGTGGTGAATTGTCTTCAAATTTGTTTTCATACTACTTCGTCTGAAATGCGCGCCAAGGTCAGATAAACTTTTATTCTAGAACATTTAACGTAACTCAATTATATCCCTATCAGAAAGCTCCATTTTTGACAAAAGATGTGACGTATGCTCGTATTGATTTTTGAACACATCTTTGAAGATTATCATATAACAAGCTATTTAACTGTTCTATCATTTGGAATTTCGCTAGGATTGTGGACGTAGACCTTATTTCAAAATTTTGTTTCTTGATAATCAAAAAGCATGAAAATCAACAGTCCCCTACAACGTAGAACTTCTTACGTACGTACATCTATTCATATAGCCACACCACATTAGCATAGAGACGCAACATCAGCCGTCCACTGTTTTCATCAACACTGGAAGTTGATTGTATCTCTAACCTTACAGTCTTCACAGCCCTCCTCCTAATGCTCGAAAAGCATGTGCATACGTTGTTGTAGAACTGATCCAGATCGGGACGTGTAAGTGGTGGCTTTAGCTTGGTATATAATTGATTAACTTGCACTCGTATCCCTTACATTCTCATCTTTGCTTGAGACAGAATGTAATGTGTCTGTCATTGATACACTTCAGAGCTTTTTTCTTTCTTCCAGTTGAACACATTATGCTCATAATTTTTATGCCTGCCTTTTGTTATTTTTATGGTTAAGTTAGCACGTAGCAATAACTAAAGTGACTAAATTTTTATTATCAGTATAGTTATTTATGAAGTTCTTTGAACTATGTACCCATGATATTAATACAACATTTAGTTGGTCACGGAGTTTTAATCAATTTTTAGCCCTAGGGTTGGTTCTTCAATGGTCTTCGTTAACTAAAATCAGTACTTGGTAGAAAACTGTCCTGATACTGCAAATAAAGTTCTTGTGAGCCTGACGAAAACAACAATACTATTCTGTTAAACTATCTGATTCTGGGCTTACCGACCGCGATATGAGAAACAGATTAGACTACCAGCTCTATTCGTGTATGAATAAAGTGTTTGTTTACGATTTATTATTATTATTATTACTTACTCAATCGAAATTGCGCTACTAATTCATTTCAAATCACTCATTCCTTTGAATACATCATCTAATTGAACTAATGTTTTTTTTCTAAATTTTATTTTAGTTAACTAAACAATTAAACGCTCAACATTATTATGAATATACAGTTATTCTGTTTATTGGTATTAATCCTATGAAAGACATATCAATTGATAATGGTTATATAACAATAAAAGCAACAGATTTAACAAGAAATTTAGCTAGACAAAAAGCTGCTCAAAATGCAATAAAATGCTTAAAAAAATTAATTCAACAATGACCATTTCTATCGGATTCGATAGTTTATTATAATTATTAATATGATTGTTATATGCCTACTGATTTCGATGATTTCTTGGTTTCATTCAGTATTTTATTAAGAAATGCATGTTTTTTTTCTTCTCTTACTCCTTGGAAAATAATTGTCATTTTTGCATTGCAATTTTACTTTGTTAACAATTACATTTATGACAAATTTTGTTAATTTCACAAATATTCTGTTATCATTGATTGAAGAGTGATATCGGTTACACTGATTTGGTTTCAATTGAGATTCATTTTTCTTACTTAAATCTTCACTATAAGTGATAATAGTTAATTTAATCGATAATGTGATTATTTCCTACTTTCTACGCTTACTTTTTTTATTCATTAAATTTTTCTTTAATAGACTTTTCGTTGGTCACGGTATTTATCTGACTGATTGAGAATTAGTTTTATGATGATAAATAGATTTTACCTTTGAGACACAAATTCACAGCAAAAATACAACTTTTATATATGCATGTACCAGTAGCTGATTCCAATTTGCTTTGGGGAGATAGTATAATCATTCATCGTAGTTTGTCTGACAATTGTATAAATTACTTGGATCTTACCGCATTATAAATCTTTCATCTCATCCATTAACTTTTTCGAAATTTTTGCGCATAATTAAGCTAATTCCTATCAGGTGCATACATGTATACACGTCTCTTTATAGCCTTGTACGCTGTATCCACCCACTATTGCCAACGTAATAAGTACGATTTAATTTGTAGGTAAATAACTACGTACTTATACATTTTGATTTACTGTTAAGTGCCCGACTAATAACTCGGAAGCTTGAAACTGTGAGATTTTCAACAAGTAAATGCAACGAGTCTGTCTAATCATGATAATGCATACGTCGATGACAAATTTACGCCTCTTTGGTCTGTTCTGATCATTATTTTTGTCACTAAGCGTTTAAGTTATCATAAAATATTATTTGGTTCATGACATATCAACTCTTTTCAATTTATTAGCTAATCCAGCAATTCTGATTATGATGTGATCACGCACAACTAATAAATTCTTCAATGTCGACGGTAATCATTTCGGTCCTTTCCTTCCCATACCTTTAAACCTTAATATGCTTTGAATGCAAAATCTCTTCGTATTAATTATATAATGAGCAAATATTTCATTTCATGAATACAAAATTCAAATGAACAAAAGTTACTTTGGTTATTATCATTAGTACGATAATCAAAGTAAATTTACACCGATATGTATTCTTTCCCGACTAAATTGTATTTCGAAATTTAACATACTTCAACAGATTAGTGCTTTCCAAGTCTCAAAAAAGTGATTGCGATCGTTACTATAAAAATTATAAACTAAGGGAATCTTTTATTAACTGTAAACATGATTGGTACAAAAAGAAGCAGTCAATTTCTCATTATCAAAAAAATTATAGTACATCAGAGCAAAACAACCTGTCATGGAGCTAATCGTTCAAATACCCAACCATTTTCTCCGACATGTATTAGATTAGATTCATCGATTTCTGGAGTTTGATCACAACGACGAAATCTGATACGATCGTGTAGTCTGTTCGTTTGACCTTGCCAAAACTCAATTGATTTTGGAGACAGAATATATCCCCCCCTAGCAAAATATAAATAGCGAATTGTTCACATTCAGTTATCAACAATGCGGAATCTATTACAAACGTGAACAGATACAAAATGTCACATCAGCATAGGATAAACAAAACTATAAACGTGAAGATCATAGCGATATCAAAAACTAGACACAAAATATAGGTAGAAAAATTGAAAGATAAATACTACGAAATGACATTTATACGTAAGATCTAGGGAAAAACAAAGAATAGACAGAAACTTACCTTTGCAGACAATCTCGTTTGACTTCAACTACGGTATAAGGTTACAAGTCAAGGTTATCTGTAAGATAGGCAATGATTAAGTTTGGCTTCACGTTTCTGTAATCTCAGTCGTCTGAAATTTTACAATACTGTCAGCCAGATTTTTCATCTTCGCCTATAACAATAAATCTAACTTCAGTATTACCAATTTGGTTGTAAAGAAACGAGACAGACACCATAATCAAAAAATACGAAGAGCTCACTATAGCTAAACTGCCTAGTGTTAAGATGCACAATAGTGTCTTCAGTAGTGAAATCTTGATGAGGTGTACTTTACAGTCTGTAGATACATGTCCTTCGTCTTAAATCTTGCTGAAGGGGAAGCAGGGTATCTTTACAGTTACTGTTACGTCTGCTTTCAATGCTTCAGCTGGAATGCTGTCTGGTCCCGCTGCTTTGCCATTCTTGATTTGTCTGATGGTCATGCTGCTCCCTTTAATTGCCGGTGGGTCAACAACAGTTCAATGGTCCGTAAGTGCTACTTCAATTCTGGGTGGCTTAAGTGGGGTTTGTCTATTCAAGAGTTTTCCAAAGTGCTCTCTACCCACCTGTTTCGCTGTTCATGAATATCCGTGATAGCTTTGCCTTTCTCGTTCTTCATTGGTCGTTCTGGTTTACTATACTTTCTAGTAAGCTTCTTTGCTGTATCGTATAGCTGTATCATATCTCCCTCTCTTGCAACTTTTTCTGCTATCATTTCTAGACCACCCACATACTTCTACCCAGCAGCTTTGGTGCCCCCCTCTTCACTTGCTTGTTTACTTGTGTGGACTTGACCTGTGCCTTAGCTTTCTCTGCTCGTTTACGACAGTTATTGATTGCGGTCTTCCTGTTCTTTCTGTACTTAGTTTTAACCAGAGTATCAATATAGATCAACTCTTTGTGATGGTGCTGCTTCTGGCCCATAACCTCACGCAAATCGACTTAAGTCCCCCTAGTCTTAATGACGTTGAGAAAGCGTTAGGAAATCTGAAACGAGGACGAGCTGCAGGTCCTGATAGACTGACCCCTGAGATATTTAAGGATGGTGGTCCAGTTTTATCAGCTAGGTTGACTGAGATCTTAGCTAGAATCTGGGAATTGGACGCAATCCCATCCGACTGGTCTCAATCGCTGATTGTCCCAATCTATAAGAAAGGACAAAAGTCTTCTTGTGACAATCACAGGGGAATCAGTCTAACTAATCTAGTATCTAAAATATTGGCCTCAATAATACTTCGACGCTTAACGCAAGCTCGTGAAGAGCAGACTCGAGAAAACCAGGCTGGTTTTCGACCTGGACGTGGCTGTATATACCACGTCTTCAAACTACAACAGGTCCTGGAACACAGACACATATTGAGACGTCCGACAATAGTCGTGTTCCTGGACCTTTAGGCGGCATTTGACTCTGTGGATCGTGAGGTTCTCTGGCAGGGTCTGTCATTGAAAGGTGTACCAAATAAGTACATTAACCTTATACAAGCTCTCTACTCGAACACCACTGGTCGAGTGAGGGCTTATGGCGAACTGTCACCGGAATTCTCTACTACAAGTGGTGTCCGTCAGGGATGTCCACTTTCTCCATTCTTGTTTAATTTTATCATAGACATGCTCCTAGACATAACATTATCCTCGTCTGAATTTTCAGGAGTAGACCTTCTACCAGGTGGCTCACTTATTGACTTAGAATATGCCGATGACATTGTCCTATTTGGTGAAGACGCTGACAAAATGCAGAGTCTTCTGACTACCCTAAGCAACAATGCAAGCATGTTCGGGATGCGGTTTTCCCCCTCGAAATGCAAAATGTTGCTTCAAGACTGGGTTGCATCAGCACCTGAACTAGTGATAGGGAGTGAAGCAGTCGAACGTGTAGACCGTTTCACTTATCTTGGGAGTCTCATCAGTGCCGATGGCCTGGTGACTGACGAAATCTCAGCACGGATACAGAAGGCTCGATTGGCTTTTGCCAACCTGCGTCACTTATGGCGTAGGCGAGATATCCGTTTGCTGACTAACGGACGAATGTACTGCACAGTGGTTCGCTCCGTCTTACTTTATGGCTGTGAAACATGGCCAGTGAGAGTAGAAGATATTCGTCGGTTACTGGTTTTCGATCATAGGTGTCTTCGAAGCATTGCTCGAATACCGTGGGACAACCGAGTGAGCAATGCTGTTATTAGGAAACGAGTACTAGGTAAGGATGGCAGATCAATCGATGAAGTGGTGACAGTTCATCAGTTGAGGTGGTTGGGACATGTGTTGCGTATGCCCAACCACCAACTGCCTCGTCGAGCCTTGTTTTGTAGTGTAGGAATAGGTTGGAAGAAAGCTAGGAGCGGACAAACCAAAACATGGCATAAATCCATGAAGTCATTGACTAGTGGACTTAGCCATGTCGGTAATTGTCGACTACCTGGTTGGGGTCCGCGAGATGATAATAATCGATGGTTAGAGACCTTGAATGACATGGCTCAAAATCGTTCGCAATGGCGCCGGTGCATTTATTCTCTGTGTTCGCTCAAATGCTAATCTTCTGGATTCCTCAACCCCCTAGTTTCGACTCTCTAAACTTTTCTCACTGAATCATACTTCTTGAATAATATCTTCTAATCCTAACCTCTCCGATTACTTCTAATACTTTTACTACCTCTTCTACTATTGGATTTGAATTGACGATTACTTCTCTGTGCTGATGTGGTATGGCAACATGAACTGATATACTTATGTACAAAAATCTACGTTGCATCTGATTGACATAACCTCACGACGTGTTCAAGTTATTGCTTCTTTGATCCGTTTCCAGTTGTTCTCCATGGTAGTTTCCCCTCCATTGAGTAGATCGTGAAAGGACTGAGACTTACTGCTAAGAGCTATCTTGAATTCGTTGAGTTTGTCAGTATCCCGAAAAGAGACCATATCTTAACCGTGTTACACTCACGAAGAAATTTAAAAATTATAGGGACGATTCTATAATCCTATTAAGTCCTAAGTTCATTGATCAATAGGCTCGTCGCGAAATTATATAATTAGTGTTGGTGATGTTAGATCCTCAGAACTGGCTTGATAAATATCTCTATTTCGGATTTACTTCATGGACCGATCAGTTGACCTTGAGATTACATTTCCCACCAGGAAAATCCTTGGCTGTGATTGGTTACT